TTCAGCACAAAGCTGTCTTTCTCCTGTTCTTTACCATATTTAAAACTGAGGGACACAGTGCAAATCTTTCGAAGTAAACTACATGAAACATTTTGGACCACCAATTCCAGGCTTCCTCATTTGCATCCTTCGGTTCCTTACCATATAAAGTGGTTTTGCGTTTGGCCTGCCTTCATTTTTTGCTGTACTTTACGTTCATTGTCAAGAGCATAAAATTTCTAAAGTCGTAAATTCTTTCACATGAGCAGTTATTAAGTTCATGAAAAGTTACTCCTTATGAAATGTTCAAAAGGTCACATTTGCACAGGTGCTGCAGCATTAAGTGTTTGTTGACAGGATATCTTAACATTGGCCAACGCTGTCTCTTTTCTCAGCCATTCCAGTTATACTAAGTGCCGTATAAAGCACACCTATGAAACTCAGAAGGAAAATATTCACTTGCAATAAACATTGTTTCCAGTTTACGGAACAATTTTTTACTCGGAGATTCTTGACACTTGTGGGAATCCACTCATGGATTATTACTGGTGGTGTGTGTAAGTGATGAAGCTCCACGAACAAAGCGTAGATTGTTTCAGTTGACAGGACAAGAGTTCTTTGTTACATCACCGACGAGAGGCACTTGTGATATGTCCACGTTTTTCCGTTTTCTCGGTTTCTTCCCCACGTTCAGAATTCGAACGCAGCCCACGAAACTCTCTGAAAGGTCGTAAATGATATGTAAGGTGCAGAAAAGTGCTGAAACGTTTTCTTTTACTTGCAGCCATTTAACTGTACCTGTTGTCTCCAGACCTCTCGGTCTTGTGCCCTTCGGTACTCCACCTAAATACAGCGGGTCCTTCGTATTTGTGTCCGTCTTCATTCCCTTTTTTGTAATATTCAGACTGCTTCTGCCATCCACTGTCAAAGTCATCAAATTCTTGACTTTGTATAACTGAAATACAAAACAATACATGGATTGTATTGCCATTAAGCAGAGTTACACATGTTCCTACATGGCTTGTCAGGAACATCGGAATACACCACAAACCTTTATATGATGCCAGTGCCCATCACAGAGAGC